CGCAACCCTGGCAGTGTTCAAAGGCAGGTTGGATAAGGCCTTGAGCAACCTGCTCTGGTGGGAGGTGTACTCACCCAGGGCAGGGGCTTGGGACTGGATGACCTCTAAGATACATTCCAACTCCTAAAATTCTATGATTCAATAGATTGAAGGACTTTATGTGGACCTATGTGGACTGGTAGAGGTGTTTAATTACAAAACATAAAACCATCTTTTAAGGCTATCACGATGCAGCTCATTGCTGAAGAGAAAATCACCACCAGGAGCTCACAAACTAAGCTTATTTCCCTGTGCTCCCATGCTTTGACCAGTCATAAAGCACAACAGCATCTCACTCAATAAGGACACTGCAACTGCTCCTCACATCCAGGAAGCAATTCCAAGAGCATTAAAGCACTGTCTACTTTCCACATAATATTTCCCAAAAGTACTGCCTACAGCTACACTGTGTACCAGAACAGATGTAACCTCTCATCTAACTGTCATTGCTACTAGGAATGGAAGGCATTTGGGGATTTTTGTTAGTGAAAAACTAAGAACTGTATGAGTCAATAGTCTTACACAGAGCACCATCCTTCAAGTATACAACACACACAAGACTTTTTGGACTTCTTGCTGCAAATTTTTAATTTCTTTCTTTATTCACCTTACCTACTGAAATGGCAAAAGGCATATGAAGAAGTGACTACGCAAAGCAGCCTTAAAAGAAAAGAGTTCCGTGTGATCAAAAATCTGGCACACCTTTGAAAAAGGGCTGCAAGCACTTTTAGACCCTAAGGCAATGTGGAAAATGCAACTGATTTTTAAGGTGATGCTGTTTAAGACATTTAACATTTTTAAAGTACTTACAGTGGTTTTCAGAGTGATGTAAGGATCATTTTCATTATTCCCATATACTGCCAGAGTAGCCAAAGACTCCCCAAGTTCTAAATGACCTGGACGGGAATTTCAGAACATTTTTATACATGTCAATGACAGATGAAGTTAGAAACTCCAATCCCTGTATTCCCTATATTGTAAAATATCAGGAGTGGGCTAAATGAACTTCCAAGTTCCAAACATAAGCACCACAGGAAGGTAAATTGCTTAGTGCATTCAGGGGCTTGTGCTGCTCTGTCCCAGCACTGCTGCAGAGGGAGAGACAGTGGGCACAATGCTCTCAGTTCTAGTCTCAGGGAGGGAGGACACTGCATTGCTTCACTCACTAAATGGTTTCTGAACCTGGGCCAAGCAAATTATTAAACATGTGAATTTCCAGCATTTGAAACATAACATCACTGTGTAGTTTTAGGATATTAAGGTCTAAGCACAACAATAAGTGGAAAGGTTCTTCACTTACACTGTATATCTGATGTTTTTCTTACCTGTGGGTTCATCTTCATCATAATTTTCCAAATCATACTCATCCAGTTCATGATCAGACAGGTCTTCATTGTTCTGAGAAGACTTAGCACTGCCAGGAACAGCTACATTCCCATCATGTTCCATCTGGCCTTCACCACTGCCACTGGGGCCATCCCTGGTAACAGACACACATGTAGACCATAGAATCATAGGATTTTAGGGGTTGGAATGGACATTACAGACCATCCAGTCCCAACCCCCTGCCCTGGGCAGGAACATCTCCCACCACACCAGGTTGCTCAAGGCTTCATCCAATATGGCTGGTGGCTGTCACCCCTCCTGGGTTTGGGCCAGCCACAGCCTTCCTGGGCAACCTGTGCCAGTGTCTCACCAGTTATCACCAGAAAACTGCTTAGGGGACTGCTAGCAAGATTTCAGCACATAATCATAGAATCATAAAATTTAAGGGTTGGAATGGACCTTATAGATCATCTAGTCCCAACCCCCTGCCATGGGCAGGGACACCTCTTCACTAGATCAGGTTGCTGGAATTCTGCATGCAATTCTGGCACCCTCAATGTAAGGAGGGCATGGAACTGCTGAAGCAAGTCCAGAGGAGGCTACAAGTTGCTAAGAGGACTGGAGCATCTGCCCTATGAAGACAGGCTGAGGGAGTTGGGGCTGCTCAGCCTGGAGAAGACTGCATGGAGACCTCAGAGCAACCTTTCAGTCTCTGAAGGAGCTACAAGGGAGGCAGAGAGGACTCTGTTAGGAACTGCAATGATAGGTCAAGGGGTAATGAGTTCAGACTGAAGGAGGGGAAGTCTAGGTTAGATGTGAGGAAAACGTTTTTTACTCTAAGGATGGTGAGACACTGGCACAGGTTGCCCAGGGAGGCTGTGGCTTACCAGACCCTGGAGGTGTTCAAGGTCAGGGCGGATGAGGCCTTGGGCATCCTGAATCCTAGCTGTTCACAGGGGTTTCAAGTCTTTATGCAAATAATTTGACAATCCATTCACTTCTTCCCAATCTTTTCCCAAAATACAAGGTACCATTATTCTCAGGCTTTCAGAGAAAGTTTTGCCTTGAAAGTTTTCATAACAAAATGTGACATGAATTTCACTTGACAAGCTAAACTGTGTGTCTTACACAATTTTTTTTGTGGGTACAATGCTGTCAGCCTCATTGCTGTGCATTCACATGTGTCCAGTTTATTCCTTCCTTTTTTCTCCCCACCCACAGGTCCTGTTATATGTGAGGACTCTAACAGTTTCTCCAAGATTTTTAAGACTTCATTTCCTCATACTTCCCATAGAAGAACATAAAATTCCTTAGTTAGGGACATATTGTGGATTACTTCTTATGGTGTAAACTATGCAACACCTAGAAAACTTGGCAGCTTTGTGACAACAATTCTGTGGGAAAAGAGTTCAGTGGGAAGAAATGCGCATTAAACACTGGCTGAGAACCTGACGGCCATCAGAGATGCTCCATAGAAACTCACCCTGCTGAATACACCATATTCCTGTCCTTCTCCATGCAAAATTCCCAAGCAACAAAAAGCCAAGGCAGTTCTGAGATACAATACAACACTGAAATTTCAGAGACCTACTTTTCTAATATGTTCAGTAAAATAAACACTTCACATTAACACGGTAACTAGAAACAAGTAACATGATAATTAGAGACTCTAAATCTGAGTTTTATTTGTGACCTTTTGCACAGGGAAAAAAGTGAGGTGTTGTGACAAAAGCGACAAAGTACCAGAAATTATAAACAGATCATAACACCTTTGGTTGTTTCAGGTGGACTTTTAATTTCCATCCCGAAGTTATACATTTGCACCACAAACAGCATCTCAAATTCTTCCATGTTTTTGAAACTGCAAGAAAAAGAAATCCACTCAAACCCCGAAAGTTCACTCGTACAAAGGCAAAACAAGTAACACAATTGATAACAGAAACATTGAACTTAATCAGTTAAGAAAGTAACATAAAGTGAGAATTTGTTGAGCAGTAAAGTCACAGGTTCATCCAAGAGAAATGGTGTAGATATTTGCCCAACTGTAAAAGCTTTTTCTGCTACCTCTAGCATCTGTTTAACCACGCACCCAATGGAGCTGCAATAGAATCCCAAGCCTAAATCTATGAATAGATCTAACTTGTTAGTCAGGCCAGAAAACAGAATAAGATCTCAATCCCTAATCTTTTTCTAGACAAAAAAGAGCCATTTCTTTCTTGCCTTTCATAAATTATGTTTCCTAAATACATTACTTCTGTCTTTGTTTTCATAAATATGTTTTTCTTAAAAACAGAGCAGCAAAACTTAAGTCCTAGGAGGAGAGGCTGAGGGAGTTTGGGTCGTTTAACCTGGAGAAGAGGAGGCTCAAGGGAGACCTTCTCACCCTCTACAACTCCCTGAAAGGAGGTTGGAGTCAGGTGGGGGTTCATCTCTTCTCCCAGGCAATAAGAGGGCACAGACTACCAGGGGAGGTTTAGTGATCAGGCATTGGAATGTGCTGCCCAGGGAGGTGGTGGATTCACCGTCCCTGGAGGTTTTCAAGATGAGACTGGATATGGCACTTAGTGCCATGGTCTAGTAACCATGGTAGGGTTGGACTTGATGATCTTGGAGGTCTTTTCCAACCTGGTTGACTCTATGATTCTGTGCTACATAACTTTCAGTGCTGAGGGAAGAGTTGTGACATCTCTAGTTTCATCTGTGAACCACCATCCCTGAGAGATGTTTCCCCTTTTTTTTTTTTTTTGTTTGCCAAAGCATAAACACCATATCATTCTGAGCTCTGCTGCGGCCTCTAAACTTCCTTAGATTGTCATGTCACACCTTCAGCAATTTTTCACAGCCAGTTTGGGACTTTGATTTCGCATTGCCACATTCCCAAAACACACACAGTTACAAACTTTTTGTTTCTCTTCTAGGTGGGAATGGCAACTCCAGAGCAGACTGGGCCCTAAGTGGGCGGGGGGAACATCACCTGAAATGCTCAGTTACCCAGACAGCACATAGCTGACACCTGAAGGACCACGTGGGAACGATGCTGTCCTATCCATGACGACTGCGGGATGCACTCCATCCCACGCTCCTCCTTTCACTCTCTGGACCA